GGCCACATGACAGAACTACCATCTGCCTGTAATAGGCTTCCAGTAGTTGCTAAGATGACAGGCACTCCCTACCACATTCAGCTTCTCTCCATTGAGATGGAGTCTCCTGAACTTTTCTGTTCTAGCTGGCTTGGAACTGCAATTCTCATACTCACCCTCTGCATAACTTAGGATGACAAGTATATCCCACAAGGCCATGCTAATGAGTTGAGAAGGAGTCTCAAGAACTTTGTTATCTTGGTTGGCCTTGAACCATTCTTAAGTAAGTAACTAGGATTGCAGGGATGAGCTACTGATATCTAGCTTAGCTTTTCTTTAGTTTCTTTTACTGTGGATAACAAGTTAGCTAAGGCTTAGTTGACCTCCCTTTGAGGCTTTCCTGATGACCACTTCCCCTTGATGGGAACTCCTCTAAGGCAGGGACTGTATCTCTTCATTTTTATATCTTTACACCTACACAATACCTGTCTTAGGGTAAATGGAAGGAATGGTAGTACCAGAGGGTGTGAAAGATGATTCACAGCCTGGTGACTCACTCCTTTAATCCTATCTCCTCATGAGGCACAGATCTGAGGACAGGTTCAAAGTCAGTCCAGACAAACTGGAGACTCTCACCTCCAACTAAGCAGAAGAAAGGTAGAAGTGGAGGTGTGGCTCAAGTGATAGAGCACCAGCTTTGAGCAAAAAAAAGCTGAGAGTGTGAGGCCCTGATTTTGAGCCTCAACATACACACACACACACACACACACACACACACACACAGAGGAGGAGACGACAATGAAAGTGTGAGGCCCTGATTTTGAGCCTCAACACATGCACGCACGCACGCACACACGCGTGGGCGGAGACGACAGTGAGTCAGGCTCAGGAATGGAGAAATTTTCTTCTAAATATACGGGATCTGGGAGGGTGGGGAAACAACAAACATTTATTAAGCTATTTTGTGCCCAGCATAGCAATAATAGGAGGTAGGTTACCCTACTATATTTGCTGTTATGTGCAGAAAGTGAGTCTTTGGGGCTTACCTGTTCAGCATTACAGTTAGCAGTGGAGAGAGGCAGAGTTGGTTGCAGGTATCTGCGTCATACTGCCAGGTATTCTTTCAACTGTACCTCAAGGGCCTGAGAACCTCCAGGGTACCTCACTACATTCCTTTCTCTGGGATGCAACTTCACCTCATTGTTTCATTTGTCAAAGTGGGTTTTCGAGGTGATTGGTGGTAGATGCCCACTGAACAATTTGATTTCCACACATGCCATTTCTGCCTCATCTTTGCCATTGATGGTCCTTCAGACCAGCCTCCCACCCTTGCTTCTCTGCCCCATTCTCAAGGAGCATCTCACCATTTCACAGTGTCTTTTATCTAGGCAAAGTACCAGATCAAAAGTGTAGGGGAAGGCTCTTACAGGGCTGGGAGAAGCATTATGGCCCAGGAAGCCTGTATACTAACAATGCTTATGCCAATGGATACTTATGTCAGGGGTCAAGGATCAGCCTGCCTTTCAGCTTCTTGTATTGAGGTTATTGTCCTGTACTGATAGACCTGGCCCTGAAAGAGCAGGTGGGTGAAGACAGCAAGTTGGCATCTCTGTGTGGGGATCCCTCAGCAGTTGCCTGTCCAGGAGGTCTGAATTCCTTGGCCATTTCTGAGAATGACATCTACACTTGTACAGAAGGGGTAACTGAGGGTTCTTGCCATGTCCTGGGAACAATTATGTTCCCCTCCTCTCTTGGTTCAATCTTTACAGGACTTCTCTTCTTATCTCACCCAAATGTCACAGCCAGCTACATTTTTCCTTCCTACTGGTCGACTCTGTTCTCATTTACGACTGCGTTTCAGAGCAGTGGGTCAGCCTCCTAAGATTGCACATTCAGGGAAAGAAACAGTATGTGTTTCATCATGTTCTTCTACTATATTTCAGTTTCTGGCCTTTGCAGACATCTTCAGCCCTTTCCCAGAGGGCCTGCCCTGGACCTGAGAGAGCGTGATTTGGAGGCTGGTGATGATTACTGTGATCTTTGCTGCCCTGGGCACACTTGGAAGCTGATGCACAGTAATTTGATTCCTTGTAGCACTGAGGGCTGTAAGAGCCCTGGGAGCTAGCCTGAGAAAGCTTTCTTAGGCTAGCTCTTCTCTTTTTTATCTTTTCTTTTGGGAGAGTACTGGAGTTTGAATTTGAGCATGCTAGACAAGCGCTCTACCATTTGAGACCCATTTTCATTCCCTTTTGCATTCTCTTTTTTTGGGGGGGAAGGAATTTCTTTTTGCCAAGGCTAGCCTGGACTCCAACCCTCCCATTTACATTCCCCTCATAGTTGGGATGACAGGTAGCCCTCTGTGGTGGTGAGATGGGGTTGAAAATGAGTTTTTGTGAAATTTTTGCCCAGGCTTGCCTCAAATTGTAATCCAATCTCAGTCTCCTGAGTAGGTAGGATTATAGAAATGAGCCACCACATCTAACTCCTTTATACTTCTTTAGTTGCACACACAGCTATATGCCAAGCACTTAACTGGGCACTGGTAAACCAGGCTGCAGGTAAAGAATATCTCATCAGAGTCACTGTGGAGAGATGTACTAGTGGAAAGACTGCCATCATTATCATCACCATAATCATCATGATTACAGATGTGAGATGTTGGTGCCTAATCCCTTTGTCTAACTTTTAATTTAGTTATTTGCTTTTTTATTATTGGGTCATAGATCTAACAATATATTCTAGATACAACCAGATAATATGGTTTGCAAATAATGTCTCTCATTCTGTATGCTATTATTATGTGAGAGCCCAAGTTTTTTTATTTTGATATAAACAGTTTATCTCTTTTTTCTTTTGCTGTTTTTTAAAAATATTTTTATTGAAAAATACTGTACAGAGGTGTTATAGTTACATGAGTAGGGTAATGAGTACATTTCCTATTGAGCGTTGTTACCTCCTCCTTTGTTTTTCTTCTACCATCCCTTTCCTCCTCACCTCCCCAATTCTTCCCTCTCCCCACCCCCAAAGTTGTAAAGTTCGTTTTCAACATAGTGTCTTGTACATCCTATTGTTACAATGAGCCAACCTATGTCTTTTGCTGTTTATACTGTTTGGTTGCTTGTACTTTTGTTGTCATAACTAAGAATCACACCTGTCACAAAGATTTACTTTTACGTTGTCTTCTAAACTTTGTTTTTGTACTTTTAGTTTTTATATTTAGGTCTGTGATCCATTTTTTGTTATCTCTAGGGCCCTTGCATTTTCTTAAAACTTTAGGATCAGCTTATCAGTTTCTACAAAGAAGCAGCTGGAATTCTGATGGATAGTCTATTGAATATATATACCAATTTGGGGAGTATTGCTGTGTTAAAAGTATCTAATCTGTGAACACTGGATATCTTTCTGGTTTTCTATGTCTGTAATTTTTTTAACGATAGTTCGCAGTGCACAAATCTTTGCTCAATTTATTCTAGTTTTATTCTTACTGCTGTTGTTAATGGAATTGCTTTCTTAATTTCACTAGTAGATTGTTGCTAGCGTACAGAAATAGTTGATTTTTAGTATTGATTTTTACATCCTGCAAACTATTTTGAGTTCACTGTATTAGTCAGTTTTGCATTTCTGTGACAAAATGCCTGAAACAATCAACTTATGAGGAGGAACAGTTTTACTTTCCTTGGTGGCTTCAAAGGTTTCAGTCCATGGTCATCTTGTATTGAGGGGGGAACATAGGACAAGGGAGGACTATTCACTTTATAGTGGCCAGGAAGTAAAGAGAGACACACAAAGGGGTTGTAGACTCAATGCCACATCAAGAGCATGTCCCCAGAGAGGAATTAGACTCCCTTCTCCCATGTCCCACCCTCTAAAGGTTCCAACACTTCCCAGTAGTGTGCTGGGCTGGGGACCAAACCTTCAAGACAAGGGCCTCATTTACAAGTTTAATGTGTGTGTGTGTGTATTTTCTCTATTATAAAAATAACAAAAATAGAGGTAATTTTACTTCTTCCTTTTCTATCTGGATATACTCACAAGTTTAATATTTTCTTCCTTTTATTATTAAGTAAAATAGTGTTTTCTAAAGCATGTTTTATTGTGTGTGTACGTATGTGTGCATGTGTGCATGCATATGTACATGTGTGTACCAGTCATGGGGCTTGAACTCAGGACCTAGCATTCATTGTTCCTGAGCTTTTGTGCTCAAAGCTAGTACTCTCTTACTTGAGCCACAGCTCTGCTTCTGGCTTTTTTGTTAGTTAAGTGAAGATGGACTTTCTTGACCAGGCTGGGTTCGAATCAAACTCCTCAGATCTTAGCCTCCTGAGTAGCTAGGATTATAGTTGTGAGCCACTGGCATCTGGCTAAAGCATGATTCTTTTACTGTTAGTGATATATAGTTTATGCCTTAAAGTATATTGATTTTGTTCTAATGAGTATTAGAAAAATATGTGTAGCACTTATAGCTCACAATTGTATGATATCTGCTCAGATGTTACTTTATCAGAGTAGTCTGACACCTTGTTTTACTCTTTTCAGGATCACTATTTGCCTTGGACATAGTTGCTTAATAAGTATTTGTTTAATGAAAGAACAGCAGTTCATTGTGTAAAATAACTTTAAGTGGTTCTTTTTAGGAGAAAGAAATCAATTTTAAGTTTATCCACAAAAAGAATTGAATAGATAGTAGGACAGAAGGTATGCAGAATGTGACAAAAATCCTGAATGGAATGATAGAAGTTTGGGAAACTCATTTAAGAAATGAAGAGAGGTGGGATGGAGAAGAAAGTTTTTGTTTTGTTTTATGCTTAAATCATTTTCTAAAGGTGATTAATTACCTGCTAGCTCATAGACTCTTCCCTACCTCAGCCAGGGGTCTCTTGAGGTTCTTAAGCTGTAACACATGCAGTTAAACATATGTGGGAAAATGCTTTCTCCTCCCAGCCAAAGGTCATCTGGAAGATGTTTGAGGTGCTTTTGGCTGCCTGTGGAAACTCAGCTTACAGGCCTTATCTTTTTTTCAGGGCTCAGGGTTTGCAGAGAGCCGAAATGACCATGACTGCCAACAAGAATTCCAGCATCACCCATGGAGCTGGAGGCACTAAGGCCCCCCGGGAGACTCTGAGCAGGTAGGTAGGGGAGAACTGCTGGGGAAGTGACATGAAGGGTCAGTCAAATAGTCTGAGTCCTGGAAAGATCCCTACTAAGATGTTAATAATAAGCTGGATGCTGGTGGCTCACGCCTGTAATCCTACCTACTCAGGAGGCTGAGATCTGAGGATTGCAGTTCAAAGCCACCCAGGGGCAAGACAGTCCATGAGACTCATATCTCCAGTTAACCATCAGAAAACTGGAAGTGGCGCTGTGGCTCAAAGTGGTAGAGTGCTAGCCTTGAACAAAAGAGCTCAGAGACAATGCCCAGGCCCTGGCACGCGCGTGCGTGCGCGCGCGCACACACACACACACACACACACACAGAGTTAATAATGATCATGTCTCTGACAATGATATTGCATCTGGTCTGGGCCCAGTTCATGCTGACCATTAAGCAGAAGCCTTCTATGATATCGATACTGTTTTCTAGTTCTATAAGTCTCTATAAGAGATAGCAAACAGCCCTAAATCAAGTTTTGCTTTGTCTTCTTGGAGGCTCAGTATCCTAGGATGGAACCATCAGGAAACAGCTGAGGTACTTCGAGCTGTGACCTTTCCCAGGATGGGGGCAGCTTGGGGCCCATGCCTAATCTAGGCTGTGCTGTAGTGAGAGAGGCTGCCCAGTGGGGTAGGGGCCTATCTGTATAAATTCCAAGCTGTAGACTAGGCTCTAGGAGAATTAGGCTGGGTAGTCAGGGTATGAGGCTCGGGTGATTGTAGATCACTTGCTTAGTAAGCATGAGGCTCTGAATTCTAACCCCAGTACTTTCAAGAAGAAGAGGAGGTGAAGGAGGAAGAAGAGAAGGAATTTAGAAACACCTTTGGATTTGGGACTTTGAGTCAGTATTAGTTATAGTCCATTCTTCTGGTTTTGTCTTCCTCTTAAAAATGAGAATATAAGACTGTAGAAATACCTTGGAGTTTGGAATCCTGTTGAACTGGGTTCAACTTAAACCAATAGATCTCAGAAATCTCAGAACATTTTCCTATGCCTTCGAAAATATTAGTGACTACATCTATAAGGTTACGATAGTAATAGCACTTATCCATAGTACTTAGAGGTGCTATGAGGATTAAATGAGATTATCTATGTAGATGCTTAGCATAGTGACTGGTATAATTTATTCAATACATATTGGCACCTTCCTGTGGTAGATCACAACTTATAGAATCTGCAGGTAAACTGCATGTATAGCTCTCCCCAGGGCTTCTCAAGGTTTGGTCAAGACTGTATGGTGTAGGGAACTAGGGGAATTTTCAAGCTCTTTTACTGAAATCACATTGGCCTTCACAACCCCTTCTGGATCTCAAGTGGAAAAATTTGGCTCGTGGGCCCTCAGCTAGCTCCTTCCTAGAAGCTCAGTGCTAGGCTGAGCTCCATGGATGGCATACTCAGGTCCAGCCAGATGTGATGGTAGACGTTTAGTTCACTCAGAGCTGGTGTTCTGGTATGGTTGGTTGAAAAGGACACAGGATATAGCCCCTGGGTAGTAACTGGCATGAATGAAGCAGGGGTTTCCTGTGCTGTACATGCAGGCCAGTAACAGACATAGACAGACAAAGATATCAGATCCTCTGTGTAGCCCTCTTGAACTCAGATTTTCTTACTTCAGCCTCCTAAGAAATGAGATGCTGGAATTACAGGCATGTGCCACAACTCTTGGTCCCATTTAATTAATTTACTTATGTATTTCTGGTACTGGGACTTGAACTCAAGGCCTCATACTCTTTCTTCTCTTGGCTTTTTACCTTCACTGGCATTCTATCACTTGAATCAGCACTCACTTCCCCCATTTTTAATGTCAGACTATTGTGGGGATAAAATAAACATGTGATTGTATAATGCTATTCTTAATTTTAAAGTAATTGTGTATTTATATAAAGCATATTTAGAAAGTACTTACAGACTAACCATACCCAGAAGACTTAAACTCCTTTTAAGCATCCATTTTTATTTTCTTCTAATTTTCACCATGTCAGTGGATCGTTGGGGGAGGCGCAGTATTTATATTAAATTGCAGAGCAGACTCAGGACTGCTGACAGGTTTCCCAGTTTCTATTTGGAATACACGCCTACGTATTTCTAAATGTTTTCAGAAATTGCTCTTCTTTTAGTGTCCTGGCATGCAGGTCTTCAAAACATACTCCATGGTATTTGTAAATAATCTGAGCTTTAGATCTTCCTTTAAAAAGTATCTCTCAGCCTCCCTCCTAAGTCTTCACTTCCTTCCTGCCACATTTCCGCTTTTCTCCCTTCCTGGGAACCTGGCTTTTGGCATGGAGCCACAGAACTCTGCAGCTAGCTACACCCTTCTCTTAGAGACCACCCCTGAGCTCTAGACAGTATTTAGACATTGTGATCCTGTAGTTACCCTTTCTGGTTTTACCTCTAGCCACAACCTGGGTGTATGATTGGGAGGGTAAGGTAGATCACCAGTTCATTGAGGAAGTTGTTGTTAGTGAACTCTGAGAGGTCTGGTCACCTAGATGCCAATCTCTGTGCTGGACACTTAAGAAACAGAGCTGGCTCATTCTCTCTCGAAGACATTGGCAACATGGATCAATTATCTTGGCACCTGAATGTTGTAGTGGCTTTTCAGAAGATGTTAGTTCAAAAGAATCTTTTCATTTTAATTTTTTTATCGTTATTAGAAAGAGTAGACATCTTGGTGTGGCCGGAGGTTTGGTTAGGGAGGGCAGGGGTGCTGGGGCCTTACAAAACTGGGTCTTTGACAACTTGGCTGCTTTAGGCCCCTCCACTTTATCCCTTGAAGACAGTGGAACCTGAGGATACTAAGAGGCACTTGTATCTAGTTTAGGGGAGAAACTTTAGGGGGAAACTGCTATGGGTAAGCAGATGGGGCCCCTGGGAACTAGCCAGGTATGTCTGCTCAAGGCAGTCTTGATTTGGCTAGAACGGTAGGAGGAAGAAACCTAAGGTTTTTTCATTTAATCACTTAAGTTTTGATCTTTATTGTGTCTTAGGCTCCTGGAACAGTTTCCCTTTTCCTTTGTTGGTGAGCTTCACGGTTAACCTGCCAGATCTACCTTTCTCACAGGCTGTTCCTGCTCCAGCTCTAGGGGTTAGGGGGATTATCAAAGTTTCTCTGAATTCCAGAGGTGAGGCTTAGTTGTGTTAGTGCTGATAACCTAGAAGCAGCTGGGCGACTTACAGACAAGCTAGCATCATGCTTAGAGTGGATTCTTCTACTTTGTTGGGGGTGAGCTTAGCGACTTGTTGCTCTCAGATTTCCCTTGAACAATAAGACCTGGCAAGCAGAGGGGGCTCTTCACAGAACATCTGAATACAGCTTCTTTATTCTAAGACTCTAGCACCTGGGTTACTGTAACTTGGAAATACAAGCTGTCAATCTCATCCTTAGGAACCTTGCTTCTGGTGGTAGGTACAGAAAACCTGAGTATCTGTAAGACTGTGGGACTTGTGGAGAGAAAGATGGAGGCTTCTGCATTTTCAGAGCCTGGAACATACCTGGCACATAAACAGTATTGCCTCTTTGTGGATCATTCACAGCCTTGTTTGTGGATATGTTCAAATTCCTAGTGGGCCATCTTAGCTTTAGACATGCTTCCTTTGAAGTCTGTAGATTTTTAGAAAGACAAGAGCTAAAAAGAGGGCTTAGAACCCATTCAGTCTAATTAAGTTGATTTCTCCATTGGGAATTGAGGCACAGTGAGGTGGTGTTCCCCAAGGATATTGAACTAATGGGAGGAAGAACTCAAGCCCACCTCTCTTGACCTTTTGTTACTTCATTATGCCACCACAGTCATGTCCCTATAAGCATTACTGGCATCTTCTTGCTCAAAAACTATTGGTATCCATAAGGCCATATGTTTGGTTACAAAGCTTCCCATGAAGTTGGGCTCTGGTAGTTCAGACCTGTAATCCTAGCTACTCAGGAGGCTGAGATCTGAGGATCATGGTTCAAAGCAAGCCCCGGCAGGAAAAGCCGTCAGTCTCTTATCTCCAATAAACCACTAGAAAACTGGAAGTGGCGCTGTGGCTCAAGCGGTAGAGCTCTCGCCTTGAGCTGAAGAGCTGAGGGATAGCTCCCAAGCCCAGAATTCAGGCCCTATGACTGACCCCCTTCCCCCCCCCCCAAAAAAAAAAGCTTCCTATGATCTGGCCCTGATCTTTCTTTCTACCCTTATCTTTTGCCACCCTCTATACAACCTTACATTTCTGCCAGCAGCCTAGATACAGATGCTATTTCTTCTGGTGCTTTCTGTGACCACTGACTCCTTCCCCTCTGTGTTTACTCTTAATACCCTTGGTTTGAGCCTCTAAATGTCATTTATCATAAAAAACGACATATGGTAGTTGTTGGTGTGAATTTTTCTTCCTCTCAAAACCTTAGAGACACAACACATACTTTGTTGGGATGTTAGTTTTGGGATGGAGCTTGAGATTCATCTGACTCAGTTACTTAAGTTACATATGAGAATGCTAAAGCCCACATAGCAAATTGGCACTGAAGCTGTAATTTCAGATCACATCAGCTTTCTATGCAAAGAAAGGTCTCCATTTGTGATATGGTAGAAATGGGAGATGTCATTAGGTCCCCTGCTAAAGTGGGTACACATTTGGACTTGTGCCTTTGATTTCTGGGAGAGTGTAAGAGGTTAGAAAGAAGGAAAAAAATCTCTGCAACTAGTAGCTGTAGATAAAAAGATAGAGCTGCAGTACCTGTTCTGTCATGGCCATGGCATGCCACCCCACTGAGAACCTATAGCCTCAGGCCCATCACCTGAGATGCTTCCTAGAATTCAACCATGATAGCCTGCTTCTTTATTACTATATAACAAATGACCTTAAACTTAACGATATTAAAACAGTCCTTTATTTTGCTTATAAATTTTTCTCTGATCTTGGGTGGTTTGAAGGTTAGAGACTAGGGTCTAGAATCATTTAAAGGCTCACATATATGACTGTTGATCCTTACAGTCCTCTGGGACT